GAGTAGCTGGGAGTTTAGGCACATGCCACCATGCTTAACTAATGAAAACAAAAAAAAATTTTTTTTTTTTTGTAGAGATAGGATACTGCTATGTTGCCCAGGCTGGTCTTGAACTCCTGGCCTCAAGGGATCCTTCCGCCTTGGCCTCCTAACATGCTGGGATTACAGGTGTAAGCCATGGTGTCCAGCTGGGACTATATTTATTCTTAGGAGATTCCACTCAAGTATTTAGGGGTAAAGTGTGATGATGACAGGAATTTACTGTCATATGGTTTAGAAATAAACAAGTAAAAATAGATGACATCTGGTAAAGTGTTAACAAGAGGTGAATCTAGGCCAAGGGTTCTCAACTGAAGTCTGGAGACATTTTGGGGTGTCACGACTGGTGAGGGTGGGGATGCTACTTCTGTCTAGTGGGTAGAGGCCAAGGATACTGCCAAACATCCTACAGTGCACAGGTCAGCTTCCACAACAAAGGATTATCCAACTCCAAATGCCAGCCAGTGGTGCCAAGGTTGAGAAGCTGTGGTCTAAGGAAAAGAGAATACAGGCATTTTCATTGTATTGCTTAAAAAACCCATACTTTTCAGTAGGTTTGAAATTTTTAAAATAAAAAACTGAGAGGGTATTAGGTGTGTGGGAACCATATAGATTTACCAAGAACTATGGGATTCTTAAAACTTTTTAGGAATAAAAATACTTTGATTTTTGCAAAGCGCTTTGTGATTAGAATCACTCATTAGTTTATAAAAGGTGAGATACCCAAAGGATTTGGAGTTCATAAAGCACTTTGAAATTAAAAATCACATTTTGAAGTTTATAAGGGAGAGGTTTACCAAGCACTTTGGGATAGATTAAAAAATACCCTGGGACAGCGTGGTGGTTCACACCTGTAGTCCCAGCTACTGGGGAGGCTGAGGCAGGAGGATCGATTGAGCCCAGGAGTGTAAGGTTGCAGTGAGCTATAACGATGCCATTGCACTCTAGCCTGGGTGACAGAGTGAGACCCAGCCTCAAAGAAAAAACAAAGTTATCTGAGGTTTGCAGAGTACTTACTTGAGGTTTATGAGGCTGAAGCTTACCAAGCAATTGAAATTGAAAGCACTTCTGGGTTTATAAAACACTTTGGCACTCACAAAACCCTCTGGGGTTTACTAAACAGTTGGGGATGTATTCTGAGGTTGTAAACCTCATTTCTCAGAGTTGGTTTGTCCCTTTTGAGAAATGACAAAACTGAGGCCCAGAAGGAGGAAGTTCTACACAGAGGGAGGGAGGGGGAGGGTCAACTCCTCATCCTCTCCTCCTAAACTGCAGAAAATTTGGGGGCCTGGACACTTTGAGGGTGGGGCCTGTCCAAACCTTCCAGTCACCCTCCAAGCTTCCCTCTGCTGGCTGGATGGATGCCACCACCTTCTCGGAGATCAGCACTTCTCCTGTCTTGTTGTCTGTCACCTGTGAGGATTGGATGACACAGTGAGATCAAATCCAGTTTCCCCCTCCATCCTCCTTCCCTCTGGACATGTTTAGTAGCATGAGGGATCAGGGGTCATGGGGAGACTCCAGCAGGGGCGTTCCTGCATAGGCACCTTGTCAATCTGGAGGTGGCTGGAGAGGGTGTTGTTACCCAGCCTGCGCTCCTGGTTCTCCTCTTGGTGGTAGTTCCTGGGGAGGCCCCGGAAGTCCATGGGGGCAGAGAAGAAGCTGTCCATGCCCCGAAACAGGTCATCCTGGGGTTGGAAGAGGGACTGGTGACTGCTGGTCCTCAGGTAACCTGAATACACTTGCAGCACTGCCAGGATACCCTTGGGGTCTTGCCCCATGTCCCACCCTTCCCCTTCCCTCTCTGTCCTTTGATACTTAGGGCCTGACTTCTGGCCTATACCTCCCATTCTGTTTCTATTCCCCATCCCATTGCCTTACTACTCCTGCCCCACTTCTGTCCCATTGTCTCTGTCCCCCTCCCTCTCTCCTCTTATTTTTCTACACTCTCTTATCTCTGTCCCATTTCCCTCTCTCCTTGCCTGTTACCTTCCCTGTCTTCTATCTCCTAGTCTCCCTGTCTCCCTGTCTCTCTCCTTCTGACTCCATTTCTGCCTCTTTGTCCCTGTCTGGCCCCAACCCATCTCCTCCTACGTCTCCCTGAATCTCTTCTCTGTACCTCTTCTTCCCCACCAACTCTGGCCATCGCTTACTTTCAGGAAAAGTCGGCTGAAGCTTTGGAGTAGGTTCTGGAGGCCTAGAAGACCCAAGGAGCTCTCCTGGGCGTCAGCATAGCGGATAGGGGCTGCAGTGGAGGGGGACACCAGGGCAGAGGGGAGCAGCAGCAGCAAGACCAGCGGTTGCCACATTGCGGGGCGAGCGGGGAGGCTGTGGCAAGGGTAGGGGTTAGAGCCCCCGCCCAGACGAGGCTCATTCCCCGCAGTGGCCACGCCCCCACCAAGACACCCTTCTCCTTGCCCATGCTGTGTCCCCAGTCCAGGCAACTCCCCACATCACTCCCATTTCCCCCACTCCCTTTTTCTTCTTCTCCTACCCTCTATCCTACCCCCTCCTCCCAGGGCGGACTCTTCTGCATCCCTCCTCATACACTGATCTCATTCCTCACTTTCGCCAACGTTTATACTTGGATCCTATTCCTCACCTTCTCCCACGTCCCGCCCCTTCTTCTGGGCCTCGCCCTTATACTAGACCACAGCTCGGTCACTGGACTCCCAGACTCCGGCGATCCACGGACTGTTAAATCCAAACAGTTCTGGGCTCGAGCCCAGGCTGGATACCTGGAGCGTTGGATGAGCTCCGCGAGCCCTAGCCACGCCCCCACGACTGACCACGCCTCCATCTGCTTACCTCACCCTAGTCTTTACTCCATGGCCACGCCCCTGGGGAGGAGCCACGCCCCTCATTCTTCGTTAACCACACCTCTTGAGCCAGAGCCGCCTGCTCATTCTCCTGGCCACGCCCACATCGTCAGACCACGCCCCTGTAGGTTGACCTCAGCCAGGGAGCCAGCAACCCTGCTGGGGCTCGTGTCTGATCCCCGCCCTAGCGTCGGAGTCCCGCACCAATCGAAGACGGCCACGCCCCTTGACGAGCCACGCCCCTGCACCTGGGCCACGCCTCTGTGCCCCATATCTTGCCCGGAGCGCCCTCGGTTTCCTTCCTCCCTCTGCTCGGGGACGATGGAGTCTGAGCAGTCGTTTTAGTTCTCTCGCTCTTTAATTTTATATCTCTGAGCCATTCTCCGTGTCCCGTTCCCGTTCCCTCCGTTCTCCCGCTCCGGTTCCACTAAAAAGCCCCACTCTCTCCCGAAACCCTAAGTCCAGTCCTACAGGAACCTGGAATTAGGGCTCCCGTCTCCCTCAGGACCCCAAGTGTGGACCCCAGCCCGCCTAGTCTCGCGAGTTTGAGCACCCAGCCCTTTCGACCTTAAGGAACCGGGCCCCAATCCGCCTCTCCTCAGGCACCCAGACTCTCTCCTGGTCCCGGGACATCCGGCCCCTCCAGTCCACTAGTGCGTGTGGCCGCGGGCGTCTCCGCCTCCGTGAGCCTCCAACAAACTCTCGGGGGCTTCACCACGTCTGCCAACTACGGCCTCGAGGCCAAAGGAAACCGTGTTGTCACAGGAGTCAGTCAAAATGCTTCCCCGTACCCCAATCCTCAAAAATGTACTTGGGGCTGAACAGTAAAGATTTTGTGTTGGTGTCACTTCCACGGCCCCAACACACACACACGCTGGGGGTAGACAGGAGTCCCGGCCCCGAGCCCTCGCCCCTCAGACTGGGGGCCACGTCTTCAGCCCCTCCCCCCTCAGACCCGAGTCCCGGCTCCCGTCTCCCCCTCAGACCCGAGTCCCGGCTCCCGTCTCCCCCCTCGGACCCGAGTCCCGGCTCCCGTCTCCTCTCTCGGACCCGTCCCCTCAGCCTCTCCCCTCAGGCCCGGGTCCGAACCCCAATCTCCTCCTCTCCCGGGGACCCAGGCATCCAAACCCCGAGTTCCCACCCGCCCCCGATAGACTTCACCTCTCTCGAGGCAAGATCCTCCCCCAGCTGTCACGGCCGGGTCCCCTCTCCACCGTCCGCCGCCTGGGCCCGCCCCCTGCGGTCCCTCCCACTTTCCCAAACAAAGCTCCCGGCAACTTTGTCCCTGGCCGCGCCCCGCCCGCCGCGGCTCCCCAGCCCCAGGCCGGGAGGTAGGAAGGCGCCGGCGGGAGCCGGGGACCCGCTCTGGGGTGTGTGAGTTGGGGTGGGAAGTTCCTCGCTATGAGGTGAGGTGTGTGTCGTGGGACCAGCTCGCCGCGCTCTTTCTGCCCGGCGCCCCGAGTTTGCGCTCGTGTCCGAGCCTCAGTGCGGAGCTGGAACTTTCGCCCGAGTCAGGGTGTTTGTGGGTGGGCCGCGTCTGTGCGTGTGGCGCGCGGGTCGGGCGAGGCTGAGGACCCCGGCGGGCTGTGGGGGCGTGCGAGCGTCTGGGGCAGTGTCAGCTGGGAGTGAGAGGGGCCCCGTGCGATCTGTGGGCTTCGGGTCCTCCTTATGGAGAAGGGAAGGCCTCCGAGGTAGCCGAGGGAGCGCTTTAGGGCTTTCTGGATCTTCAGTCTTGTCTCTTTAGGGGTATGGGGCTGGGGCGGGAAATTAGGGGACCTTTCTTACTCGGCTCCACCATCCCTTTGTCTGGCCACATGGGGGAGGGTTGGGCTGGGATTTTGGCCTACGGGGGTCCTGAGCGCCGCGGCGCCACCGGGCTCCGGCTGGGGTCTTTGTCTGCCAGGGTCTGAGGGAGGAGAGGCATGGGGACCCTGGACGCTGGGGTCCTGGGAAAGCTGTAGAAGACATGGAGCCTCCAGGGAGGCGGGATCTGACTGTGTTGGGAAAAGTTTTCCCTGTTCTTGGCCTCCGGAAAGTCACTGGGAACTTGAGTTGGCTCTGAGCCCACGGCGCAGGGGGAGGGGAGGAGAGGGGCGGGGAGGAGATGGGAGGGGAGGGGAGGGACCGGGGGCCCGAGGGGAGTCGCCCTGCTGGCCAGCCCCTCCCCTGATGGGGGTTATGGGAAGCTGGGGGAGGGGACGCCTGGGCCCTTTGTTCTGGCTCGCCTGATGGCTGGACGCCCCTGCCCCCCAGCTTGTGGTTCTGTGGGTCTTTCCTGGTCTCCTCCTCAGTTTCTGCCCTGAGTCTCTCCCCCTCTTTCTGGGTCTCTGTCCCCTTCTTTCTAGGTCTCTGTGGTCCTCTCTTTGGGTCTCTCTTTCTCTCTCTCCCGGCCTCTGTGCCCTTCTGTCCGAGTCCCTATCTCTCTTTCTGGGTCTCTATATCCTTGTCTCTCTGGTCTCTGTCCGGTTCTCTCTGGATCTTGGTTTCCTTCTTTCTAGATCTCCTGTCAGCCTTACTTGGGCTTGTCCCCTCTTCCTTCTTTTCTAGCAGCTGCTACTCACATCTTAGCACCTGTTCCTGGGTTGGGACTCGGATGGTTACACTCACACCCTCCTTCTCTGCAAACTAGCTCCTGACTTCCATCTTCTCCCAAACCAGGAACCCATACCCAAAGGTTTAGCCCTCATGGGCCCTAGGCATTGCTCTGGGTATTCACAACTCGTCAAGATCCAATTCTTTTACAAACTCAGAGAACACTCGCACCCTAAGCTTTTCCAGAAATCCAGCTCCTTTCTCCTCCAGAACCCAGCAGTCGGGACCCCTAGCCCTCAAGATTCAGGTTCCTCCAGGGGGGCTGGGGGAAGCTTGCTGAGCTCTGTGTTCCTCCAGGCCCAGATGGGGGAACCCCGGGTTGGGGCCCCCCTGGACGATGGCAGCGGCTGGACAGGCAGTGAGGAAGGCAGTGAGGAGGGTACCGGAGGCAGCGAGGGGGCTGGAGGAGATGGGGGCCCGGATGCAGAAGGTGTCTGGAGCCCAGACATTGAGCAGAGCTTCCAGGAGGCCCTGGCCATCTACCCACCCTGTGGCCGCCGGAAAATCATCCTGTCCGATGAAGGCAAGATGTATGGTGAGTCCACCTGTGTCTTTTGCCCTGGCCCCCACCGATTAATAATGATAATGATCAATACTTATGGAGCTCTAAGTAGGAGCTAGCATCACCATTTGCACAGATGAGGAAATTGAGGCACAGAAGGTTAAATGATTTGCTTAAGGTCACAGAGCTGGTACATGATCAAGATGGGTTAGGAACCCAAGCAGTCTGGCTCCCATATAGCCGAGGAGACCTGCAGGCCAGCTGCTACAGACCGTTGGGGACTATTGCTGCTCTCTTTTTTCCTAGTTTCCTGTCTGTTGGGAAGTTCTGCTGAAGGTCTAACTCTGTTCCATCTTTCAATCTTTAGGTCGGAATGAACTGATTGCCCGCTACATCAAGCTGAGAACAGGGAAGACCCGAACTCGCAAACAGGTCTCAGAACTGACTTGTAGGCTTCTGTCTGGGATGGGCCTGTCTTCTTAGGGGACATCCTCATATGGGCAGGTTCAGGTTCAAGGAGGATCTGGTTCATGTGCTTTTGTCTGTCGTCTTGGCATGGCTCTCAGTGTGCTCTAACTGTGCCTATTTTGGGATAGTTTTCCTAGCAGTTGTGTTTGAATGAGAGAGTCAGAGAGACCAAAAGAGCCAACGAGAAAGCACCAGGGAAGGGGACGGAGGCCTGGATTTGCTGGATCTGGGGAAAGTCAGTGGAGTTAGCAAGTTCCTGGAAAGAATAACCTTTGTGGACATGTCTGTGTTTGCATGCTCCAAACATGCAATGGCTAGCACCTTCTGTGTGTTTGTCATCTTTCATGTTCTAGCAGCTCAGTGGGGCACCTGGAGGAAGAAGGGAAGGGGTAGTGGCTGTAAGGGGAGGGTGGTGGCTGTGGCCTGAATCCACTTCTCTGTTGATCCCTCCAGGTCTCTAGTCACATCCAGGTTTTGACCCGAAGGAAATCAAGGGAAATCCAGTCCAAGCTGAAGGTAGGGACCAAGGCAGACATCCTGAGAGGGAAACAGAGACTTAGAGAGAGAGGAACAAAGACCTAGAGGCATAGTGGGACAGAGCCCAAAAGAGAAGGGGACAGAGACCCAGAGAGAGGAGAGCAGAGACCCTGGGAAAGGGGGACAGAAACTTACAGAGGGTGACAGAGACCCAGAGAGAGGGGGACAGAGACTTAGAGACAGAGGGTAACAGAGAGCCAGGGAGAGGGGGACAGAGCTCCAGAGAGAGGAGGGCAGAGACCTAGAGAGAGGGGGACAGAGAGCCAGAGAGAGGGTGACAGAGACCCAGGGTGGGGAACTTTTGTAGACAGGGCAGGGGGTACAGATATCCAAGATGGAGGATCAGTGGCCCAGCAAGAGAAGGTGGGTAGAGACCCTGGGTAGGGAGAGATTGCATAGAGGGAGGGATGAAGATTTAGCTTAGGACAGTACGAAGGATGGGCCATTACTTCTCTCCTTGGCTACTGTTGTCACCCCCTTCCTATCCCTCTTCTCCTTTTGTTCTTCCTGGCTGTCTCATTTCCTCTTCCCTCTTGTGCTATGAAGATCTCCTCTTTGTCCCTTCTGGTTTATCTTCCCATTTCCTGGCCCCATGTGCCCTGCCTGCTCTTTTTGTGTCCAGAAACCTTCATGTCCTGTGGGAGATTCTTATATCCATCTTCTTTTCTTTGTCCTTTGGATTTTCTGTTCCCTCTTGGCCTGACACCCTCATAGTCTACCCATCTGGGTGTGAGGGGATTTTTTTGTCTCTTCCTTTGAACTTGAGGATAATCACTTCCCCAGAAGCCTTCCCTTCCTTTCTCTCTAGGTCTAAAAACCTTCACTTCCTGTCTTTCGGGGCCCTCTCTGTTCCCTCTCTGTTCCATCTGGACTAGGAAACATTCACCTCCTGTTCCCTCTGGGTTTGAAATTCTCATTTCCCCTCGCTTGGGCATCTGGGAACCTCTACTCTGGCTTTTTCTTGACCTAGAAACCCTCATTACTGTCTTTTATTCTGGGCAGGGAAATCCCTTCTCCAGGGCTGGCCACTGTTACTTCCTACTCTACGCCCATCCCTTGCCTTTGCCCCCTGACCCCCATTGCTCAGCTCAGGGCCGTGGGACTGTGTGGGCTGGTAGGGCAGGGAGGTGTGGGAGTCTAGGCCTCACTTCCTAAGTCATGTTTTCTTTCCTCCTTTGGCACCCTCCCCCACCCCCACGGGCAGGCTCTGAATGTGGTAAGTCCCCCTGCTCATCCTCCCACCCACTCTCACGCCAGACAACCGTCCCATCCAGGAGGAGGGGCGGAGGGCTGTAGTGAGAGGGAGTTCAACCTTTCCCCAGCCCTGTACCTTGACTCCCCTGCTCTGCATCACCCCATCCTGGCCCCACGCCCGCATTGTCCCACCCTTGTTGTGTTGACTGGGACTCCCTCATTATTAACAGGAACCTTCACCTTTTCCTCCAGGACCAGGTGTCCAAGGACAAGGCTTTCCAGACCATGGCTACCATGTCCTCGGCGCAGCTCATCTCTGCACCTTCCCTGCAGGCCAAACTGGGTCCTGCCGGTCCTCAGGTGGGTGGCCTGGTCTGGGATTATGGGGCTTGGGGCTGGAGGGATGGGGCTACAGTGGCCATCAGGGGACTGACCAACCGTCCTTCTTTGTCTCCTCTCCAGGCCTCTGAACTTTTCCAGTTTTGGTCAGGAGGCTCTGGACCTCCCTGGAATGTTCCAGAGTGAGTACTTCGTGTCCTGGCTCAGCACCTGACCCCCACTCTCACACACCTCTCCCCCCCTCCAGAGAACTTTCTCACTCCACTTTCTAGCTCCCATCTTCCTTTTGAACACAGATTCTAGAGCCACACTATCTGTATTTGAATCTGACCTCTGCCCTTTATCGGTTATGGGCCTTGAGTAGATGACTTCAATGCTCAGAGCCTCAGTTTCCTCATCTCTAAAATGGGGATAATAATAGTACTTCCCTCACAGTTTCTCTGTTGGAATAAATTAGTTTAACACATGTACGATTGTTAGGATAGGACCTGGCACATAATAAGTGCTCAGGACTAGGTGTGAGCTGGGATAGTGAGGAGGGGCCTGGGCAAAGGGAGTCAGGAGGGGGAGGGTTGGGGCTAGGGCTGTTGGCCTGGGAAGGAGGAAGGAGGCAAGGAGAGCATCCAGGGTTTGCTTAGAGTCAGTGGGACTGTCTGGAGGTGCACAGCCTGGAAAAGAAGTGGGTTTTAAGGTGAAATGAGCTCAGCATGGAACTCGATGAGTGGGAAGGGCCTACAGGATGTCCATGGGATAATGACCCTCCAGTGGGATTGTTCTGGCCCCAGAGGCTCATGGGAAAGGCAGTTGTAGGTCCAGAGACTCCATGGAGGATCAAGTGGAGCCCTAGAGGCTGATGGGAAGGCTTGTTTCCATCTCATTGAGATGGTTCTTGGACCTGAGGGTAGAATAGGGGGTATTATCCTCTCTTAGGCTCAGAAGGAAGAAAATTGGTCCCAGAGGTACATGGGAGTGTCCTTTTCAGCTCTGAGAGAGCCCTGAGAGTGACAGGATGTGTTTTTAGTCTAGAGGAATAGGAATGGGCTCCAGAGGCTCATGGGAAGTGCCCTTTTCAGCCCAGAAAGGAACTAGTGGATCCAGGCTGGGTGTCAATAAGGCAGTGGCCACAGGACAATGAACCAGGAGGGTTCAGGGTATTGCCAGAGGAAGAGTGAAGTGACAGGCTATGGGGTCTAGACTGGGTGAGAGGAAAGTTCACTGGGGAGCTGCAGCTGCATGGGGACACAGGAAAGCGTCAGAACAAGTCCCCAGGAGCTGAAGGAACTGCAGGTTTGCAGGGGAGGGGCCGAGCTGGAAGGAGGGGTGGTTCCACAGGCACTGCACTGGGGAGATGAATGTTGATTAAATCATCACATGCATAAACACACAACCAGAAAGCATGTGAAGTGCTGTGAAGAAACACAACAGGTTCTGGGGTGGAGGAGAAAGTTCTGGGGGTTTCTCTGAGAAGGTGACATTGAAGGCTGAATAGTACTTGGCCAGGTGAAGATTGGGGGTGGGAATGTTTTAGGCAGAGAAAACAGCTTGCAATAGCATGTGACAAGGCCCTGAGGTAGGAAAGTTTGGTGGGTTCCAGGAGATGAGAGAAGGCCAGTATTAAGCGATTGGTCAGTCAAAGATTTATTGAGTGCCTACTAAGTGCCTGGTACTGTGCCTTGTTTGGGGACACAGCAGTGAACAAGATAGGCAGAATCCCTGCCTTCATGTAGCTTTATGTATTTGTGGAGGCAACAAGACAGACAATAAACACGTAAACAAATAAGAATAAGAAGGGATAAATATGAGAAATAAAGCAGATTGTATGAGGTTTATTTTAGACAGGGGTCAGGAAAGGTCTCTCTGAGGAGGTGGCATTTGAACAATGGCTTTGATGACCAGAGATTGTGTCAATGAGTGGAATATTCCAGTTTAGATTTTAGAATTGGGATGATGAGGACTAAGGCAGAGCCCCTGGGAGTCAGAGTCTGAAGGTCCCTGCAGTTTGTTTTTCTGATACAGGTCTTTTGACCCTTGACCTCTTTCCTGACATCTGACCACCATGTCCTATCTCCCTGGGGGACCTTTGACTTCTATGTCTCCACACCACCATCTCCTGGGCTACCTTTGAACCTCTAGAGCTGTGTTTGGTACTGTACCCACTAGGCATATACAGCTATTTTAATTAAAATTAAAGAAAATTAAATAAAGTTTAAAATTCAGTAGCTCAGATATATCAGCCACACTAGTGCTCAGTAGTCACATGTGGCCAGTGGTTACTGCATTGAATGGTACAGACGTGGAACATTCCATCACACAGAAATTTCTATTAGACGGTGGTGCCTCCCCACTCCGACCTTTGGCCTGATGGCCCATCTCCTGACCCCTAGTCATTTTCTTCCCACCCTCTCGGCCTCTCAGCCTCTTCTTTCTTCAAATTCCCCATCTTCTTTGTCTTTTCCCTATAGCTCAAGACCTGGTTTCTCTTTTTTTGACATTATGTGAGAGATACCAAAATATCATCATCAGGGGTGACTTCATGGTTAGGACTGACCTGGGTTCAAGTCCAGGCTCCATTGCACCCCAGTGGTGTGACTTTGGGCAGGTCTGTGCCTCAGTTTCCTCATTTGTAAAATAAGAAGAGCAGTAATTCCACCTACTCCATGGGCTGTGAGGCTTCAGTGACATTGTGCACGGAATGTCCTAGCATAGGGTCTGGCTTGTTGTGGCCTCTAATTAAATATTAACTGGTACAAGTAGCATCTTTCTATCTTGTTGACCCCTGGCTTTCTTTTTCTCAGCGTGAAGCCATTTTCACAGACACCATTTTCCTTGTCACTGACTCCCCCAGCCAATGACCTCCCAGGTAAGAGCCTGTCCTCCACCCTCCCTTGCCTCCCATCTCTCTCCTTGACCACAGCTGCCTTTCTTTCAACCTTCCATTAATCAGGGGACACATTCTTACTGAGGCAGTGTGTGTGTGTGTGTGTGTGCGTGTGCGTGCATGCGTGCGTGCGTGCATGTGTGTGTGTGTGTGTGTGTGTGTGTGTGTATGGACTGAAAAAGTGAGTGGCAGAATTTGTAATGGTTAACAGCAGGGTCTCTATAGCCAGACACACACTAATTTTGTGTTCTGTCACTTGGTAGCTTATGAGACATTGGGGAAGTGTATTAGCCAAGATTCTTGCAGTGTAAGAGCTAGAAGCCCAAATCAGGCTAGGTAAAGCAGAAAAAAAGAAAAGAAAAGAAAGGAAAAAGAAGGAACTTTTCTTTTTTGAGACAGAGTCTCACTCTGTTGCCCATGCTAGAGTGCCATGGCATCAGCCTAGCTCACAGCAACCTCAAACTCCTGGGCTCAAGCAATCCTTCTGCCTCAGTCTTCCGAGTAGCTGGGACTACATGCCTGGCTAATTTTTTCTATATATTTTTAGTTGGCCAATTAATTTCTTTGTATTTTTAGTAGAGATGGGGTCTTGCTCTTACTCAGGCTGGTTTTTTTTTTTTTTTTTTTAAGACAGAGTCTCACTATGTTGCCCAGGCTAGAGTGAGTGCTGTGGCGTCAGCCTAACTCACAGCGACCTCAATCTCCTGGGCTCAAGCAATCCTCCTGCCTCAGCCTCCCAAGTAGCTGGGACTACAGGCATGTGCCACCATGCCCGGCTAATTTTTTCTCTATATATTAGTTGGCCAATTAATTTCTTTCTATTTATAGTTAGAGACGGGTTCTCGCTCTTGCTCAGGTTAGTTTTGAACTCCTGAGCTCAAACGATCCAGCCACCTTGGTCTCCCAGAGTGCTAGGATTATAGGCGTGAGCCACCGTGCCTGGCCTACTCAGGCTGGTTTTGAACTCTCGACCTTGAGCGATCCTCCCGCCTCGGCCTCCCACAGTGCTAGGATTACAGGTGTTAGCCACTGTGCCTGGTCTGGAACAGTTTTTGATTTATCAGTTCAAGTAACTGATAGTTCAGAATGATGGCTTCAGGCATGGCTGGATCCATGGATGGTACTCAAGTGGTAGCATTAGGAGTTGCTTCGATCTGCTTTCCTCTGTGGTGGCTTCATTCCCAGGCAGGCTCAGCTCACCTGGCAGCAAAGATGGCTTCCAGATGTCCATGCTGTAGCCCTGAGAACTCACATCAGTGAAAGAGGGAGTCCCTAGCTCCCCCAGATTCCACAGATTTATCAATTAGGAATACTTTCAGCTGCAAGTAACAGAATGCCCAAATTAATAGTGCCTTACATAGTAAAGGCTTTAATGTAAATAATAAAGGCTTTAACTTTTTGTTAATTCCACATAAAAAAATTCTGGAGGTGGGCTGCTTCTGTGCTGGCTCTGTAGCTCAGCAGTATCAGGACTGGCATTTCTATAGTTCCCCTGACCTCTGTCTTACTGTCCTAAGTTGGCTGTTGTGACTCCAGGCATTATGTTCCGAGCAAGATTTGGACAGGGCAAAAGCTTTCTCCTCCCAAAGTTCTGTCTTTTTCATTCAGGAAGAAACTCCTTCCCAGAAGCCCCCCTCTAACGTCTCATTGGCCAGGACTGTGTCATATGGCCACCTCTAGCTGCAAGGGAGGCTGGGAAAGTGAGTATTTAGCTTTTTCAGCTTCTAAGTGGAGGCAGGCAAGAGAGAACAGTACCTGATATATTCAATAAATGTTAGCAATTTTTATTGTTCTTTCTTCTTTCTCTTTAGGGTACGAGCCCCCCCAAGCTCTCTCACCCCTGCCCCCACCTGCCCCATCACCACCAGCCTGGCAGGCTCGGGCCCTGGGTACTGCCCGGTTGCAGCTGGTGGAGTTCTCGGCCTTTGTGGAACCACCGGATGCGGTTGACTCTGTGAGTGAAATTTTGGGATGATCACTGAGGGATTTTTGGAATGTAGAGGGTGTCAGGGAGGGAGGGCATAGAGTAGTGGTTCTCAAACTTTAGAGTGTATCAGAATCATCTGGAGGCTTGTTAAAACAGAAATCACTGGGCCCCAATCTTCGAACTTCTGATTCACTATATGTGATGTGGGGCTTGAGAATTTGTGTTTCTGACAAGCTCCATGGTGATGTTGATGTGGCTGATTCAGGGGCCATACTTGGTGAACTGCTAGCATTAAGGAACTGGAGGGTCATGGGTTCATAGGTTGGGAAAGTCAGAGAAACTCTCCAGAACATCGTTCATTCATTTATGAAATATGTTTGGGTTTCTGCCATTTGCCAGGCTTTGTGATGTGTGTAGGAACTTGGGAAAGCAGATCTTATTTCTGGGCTTGAGCTTTTCCTGGGCTAGGATGGAGACAGATGCTGTACAAGTCAGGGTGGGTTGACTGTTAGAAAAAACAACTCCCAACTCTTAGAGATTGAACACCATAGAAGTTTCTCACTCATGTAACATTTCATCATGGGTATAGCAGGAGCCTTCCACACAGTGACTCAGGGATCCAGACTCCTTCCATTTTGGCCTCTATCATTTTCTACAGCTTCAGAATTTGCTGGGGGATTCTCTGTATCTGGCCAGCAGTTGGAAGAAGAGAGAGAGTTAAGATTGTGCCGGAAGCTTTAAGGATCTGACTAGGATATCTCAACTGACACGTCTGCTCACATCCCATTGGCCAGAACTTAGTCATGTGATCCCACCTAACTACAAATGAGCCTGGGAAATGTAGTTTAGCACTGTAAAGGAATGCGGTTTTGTGAACACATAGCTGTCACTGTATAAACACCAATTAAAACACTAATTTAAGGCTGGGCATGGTGGCTCACGCTTGTAATACTAGCACTTTGGGAGGCGGAGATGGGAGAATCACTTGAGCTCAGGAGTTTGAGACCAGCCTCGGCAAGAGTAAGACTCTGTCTCTACCAAAAATAGAAAAAATTAGCTGGGCTTGGTGGCACGTGCCTGTAGTCCCAGCTATTAAGGAGACTGAGGGTGAGGCTGAGGCTTGAGCCCAGGAGTTTGAGGTTGCAGTGAGCTATGATGATGCTACTGCACTGTAGTGGAGGCAACAGAGCAAGACTCTGTCTCAAAATACCCAAAACCAAACAAACAAAAAAACCTCTCCTCCCACTTGGAGTAAAAGGTAACATCCTTTCAGGTGCCCACAAGGCTCTGAGGCTGAGCCCTGTTCTTGCTCTTTCCTTACTTCTGCACTCTGACCCTCACTTGCTCTGCTCCAGTCACACTGGTCTCCTTGCTCTTCCTCTAACCTGCACAACCCACTCCTGCCTTTGCATCTGCTGTTCCTACTGCCTGGAATGTTTGCTTTCCCCACATCTCTATGACTCACTCTTTCCATTTGTTTAGGCCTTTGCTAGATTATCGTCTAAAATAGGCATTCCCCAAACACCTTAATGGAAAATACCAGGTGCCATAGCTTCCAACCCCCTTACTATACTTTACTATAGTTTTTTTTTTTAAAGCATACATCTGGCCTTGAAATTTATATTATCCATGGGCTGATTTTTAAATTTTCTCTCTTTGTCAGTAGACTGTGAACTCCATGAGGTCAGGGACTTTATCTTTTAGCCTTGGGACCCACCATAGTGCCTGCACATAGATCTCTTGATAGGTGTCTTTTGAATATCAGGGATAGGGGAAGCTGGGTTGGGGGAGCTCAAGTTTTTGTGAATATATAGTGGAGTAATTCTGTTTAGAGAGTTAATGAAGGCTTCCCTGAGATGACAATATTTGAGTTGGGCTTTGAGGGTTATATAGGAGTTTGCCATGTGTGGAATTGGATGTTCCAGGTATAGAGATGGGTAGAGCATGGAGTTTCAGGGAGACAAATAATAGAATATGGTGGGAGCTGGTGAGGCTGCAGATAGCTGGGCAGGTGCTAGTTTTGGAGGAGCTGGCATTGCTAAGTTGAGGGACCCAGACTTTCTCCTGAGGACAATGGGGAACCATGGAGAGGGTGGAGTAGAGAGATCTCATCTGATTGTGATCAAGAGAGGCTTCCAGGAAGAGGTAGATTTGGGCCTGGAAAGAAAGAGGAAGATTTGTATTGGAGGAGGAGATGGGGAGGGGTTTGGGGATATGGAAAAAGTCAAGACAAGGAGTCACGAGAGTGCAGACAGATAGGGAGTCTTGGATGTGGGCCATGTGGATTCCTATCCATCCATCCACTGAACATTGATGAGCTGTTCTATATAGTGCCAGGCTGACAGGGTGTGGGCTTTGTCCTGTGGTACTAGGGAGCCATGGGAGGACTATGAGCATGTGAGGGCCAGGGTCAGCTCTGGGGTGGTGTGAGGGATGAACTGGAGAGGTGAGAGGCTGCAGTGAGGGTTGGAGAGGCTGAGGCCTGAGGCTGAGGCAGTGGGAATGGAGATAAGGGGACGGGCAGAGATTGGGACCGAGGGACTGTGGGGAGGCAGGGGCAGAAAGGAGTGAGGACAGCGTCTGTGGTCAGGCCTAGTGTTGGGTGGACAATGTGGAATGGCCAACTGGAGCTGTGGGGTTGGCAATGGTGTGAGCTGGGCTTGGGCGGTGAGGGTCGGAGGTCCAGCCCACCTCCCACTTTTCACCCACGGCTGACCCTCCTCAGTATCAGAGGCACCTGTTCGTACACATCAGCCAGCACTGCCCCAGCCCCGGAGCACCACCGCTGGAGAGTGTGGACGTCCGGCAGATCTATGACAAATTCCCGGAGAAAAAGGGTGGTCTGCGAGAGCTGTATGATCGTGGACCGCCACACGCCTTTTTCCTGGTCAAGTTCTGGGTAAGTTCCAGCAGCAAAAGCGAAAGTAAAAGTGCACGTAAATCATGTGCCGACCCAGCTAAGGCCTCTGGCTCTAGCGGGGATGGACCCTGGCGTCAGCCTGGCCCTTACTAGTCAGTCCTCATGGCTTGGAGTATCAACCCCCTTTGCTGGCCCCCAGGGAGGGACGGAGGGACTTGGGCCTTCCTGTATCCCACTGGACTTTGCCACACTCGGTCATGTGACTAATATGGCCCTGGGCTTTAGTTTGTCATGTTTCAGGCTGTCCCATTCCTCACCTGACCACACTAAGCCTTGTTGCTCTCCCCTTAGCCAATGGAGTCATGGATGGTTCTGGTCTCTAAAGAGGGGACTGGGGCTTTGCTAGTGGGTTCCACCAGAACCTGTTGCTAGGGAATGTCTGGCTTTGTGCAAGTGATTGAAGGAGCTAGGGAGTGGCTTTGTAAGGTATTGTATCTATTTAACAATCATGTATTAAGTGCTTCCCATATACAGGCCCGAAACCAGGTGCTATGTATATAATCGTGACTAAGAGGGATCATCTTGGGTCTTTCTTAGGCCTATTTGGTTTGATGGCCAGTACAATGACTGTCACTGTAGGGGCTCAATAAACATTGAGGGGGTGTTAACTCTTGAGTAGCCAGTGCAGTGGAGGGATGTAGTCTTTGAGAAGAAAGCCTACTGAGGGTTGGAATTTTGCTGGTCTTGCTGGACGTGCAAAAAGCTTTATAAAGCTTTCTGGTGTGTGAAGTGGAGGCCCGAGACTGCTCCAGGGGTGTGCTGCTGAGGTCTCTGGCATTGTCAGGGCTTAAACAGGCCTCATTTGGTCCCAGATCTGGAGAGCCACCCTGTTGGGCAGCCCAGCTTCTGAAGGGGTTCAGGGGCATGACTGGTAAGGCTTTTAGTTTTGCCTGGCTTCACAAGGCCTTGTTGCCAGAGTGATGGATGGAGTCGGGCCTCTGAGGACAGTGACCTGGCAAAGTGTTAGCAACTAAAGTTAGGAAGATGAAGAGGTGTGCCTCTCAAGGAAGTGTCTCAGACCAAAGGTGTGATGATGAGGTCTTAGGGTTCATTAGGCCCCATCTTACCTAATGACACTTGGCCAACTCTCTACACACTTGGTCACTGGGTTTATGGAGGGCGTCTGACCTCTGAGAATTGGCCAAAAGGGCTAGAGAAAGTGTTCTGGAGAGGAGTGAGGCCTCCTCAGTCCCTGTGAGGCCCCCTTGCTTAGCCACTTGCCTTAGCAACCAGGGTTGTGAAGGGCCTGGGGGAGGGCACCCAGCTTTAACCGGTTACTAAAGAGTAACTACCTCCTTAGTAAGCAGGCTCTTGGAAGGGGCTGAACTCTTGAGTTGGGGGCTTCAAGAGAAAAAAGGTGAATTCCAGGGCTCCTTTGGTTAATGGGAGAGAGGGTCAAGACCGTTTTGGGGACCCAGACTTCTCTAACAATGATGGAGGATGGATGTTCATGGAGAGCTTTGCAAACTGAGGAAGGGAGGTGGGCAACTGCAGGCTCAATGGGGGAACCAGCTTTGGGGCAGAGTCCCCACTATTTTAAGGGCGTCCCCTCCAACTCATCCATGGCTTCCCATTTCTCAGGCGGACCTGAACTGGGGCCCAAGCGGTGAAGAGGCAGGGGCTGGTGGTGGCAGCAGCAGCGGTGGCTTCTACGGAGTGAGCAGCCAGTATGAGAGTCTGGAGCACATGACCCTCACCTGTTCCTCCAAGGTCTGCTCCTTTGGCAAGCAGGTGGTGGAGAAGGTGGAGGTGAGGCTGGAGGGTGGAGCTCTGGGCGGGTGAGTGCCCAGCCACTTGCCACTCTAGGGGTGCAGAATGGGCCAGGAGCCATGATTGGCTCAGGCATTTGGGGGTCTGCATGGTGGTGGGGGGGTGTCCCAGCCTCTTTGAGGGTTTAATGCATAAGTTTGGAGCTAATATGGAGTTCAAAAGTCACAGGTAGGGATCACTTTTAGGGCTGAAAGGTAATGTGTGGTAGAGAGATTTAAAGTCACTACAATTCAAAAGGGGTCTTTGGAGGGTTTGGAGGGTATCTGAGGACTTGAAGGTCAGAGGTGTTCAGAGGTCTTTGAGCATTCAAAGCATCACTTTGTGGGGTTTGTGGGGTTCCTGGTTTGTAGGCTCAGAGATGCTGAGTTGGATACCCAAGGGTTCAGGGCTCTGTCTCTGCTCACTGTGGGTGGGATGATGGAGAGAAGATGGCAGTGGGAGTGAGTATGGCATCAGAGAAGCACAGGTGGAGTTCCTGTGGTGACACATGTGTTTCTCAGCCACTGCCCTCCCCACTCCCTGCCACCTGATTTAGACGGAGCGGGCCCAGCTGGAGGACGGGAGATTCGTGTACCGCCTACTGCGCTCGCCCATGTGCGAGTACCTGGTGAATTTCTTGCACAAGTTGCGGCAGCTGCCTGAGCGATACATGATGAACAGCGTCCTTGAGAACTTCACCATCCTCCAGGTGACATGCTGCAGCTGGACCACACAGGGGCCCTGATGTGAAGGGGAGTGCCCACAACAGAACTTTAGTCTAGGGGGACAGATACAGGGGGACCTCCCCCCATGTTGGACCCTCAGCCCAGGAGACCCACTCACCTTTGGAACTGACACAGCAGGGACTCTGAAGTGAGTCCTCAGCTGAGGGTCTTTTAACTGGAAACTGATGCAGTGGGGACTCCACAGTTGACCCTTAGCTTAGGGGACCGCTTCACCCAGGGAACTCAAATGGTAGGGACTTCACATCACACTCACATAAGGGGATTGATCCCTCCTTCACTGGGGAAGCTGGCATGGAGGCCACCTTGGCAGATCCTCAGCTAACCTTAGCTTAGGGAGTATGATGTGGTAGAAGCCTCTTTAACTTTGGGAAATGTGCTGAGGTAGAGACCCCTTGGCTGGGGGACCTGAAGTGATGGCATCCCCTTTACCTGTGACATGGTGGGGGACCCCTTTTACCTGGGGAATGTGATGTCGGGGGAACCCCATTAACTCTGAGACATGACACACCATCTGATGTGAGGCCCCTCAGCTTAGGGGTAACTCCTATTGCCCAGGGAACCTGATAATTGGGTGTCCCTTTTACTCAGGGAATATGACATGGTGGGGACTTGTTTTGTGGGGTGGAAAAGAGGTCTGCTGGGTGCCCCATGATAGCTTGGAGAGGGCACAGTGGTCCTTGCCCTCCCTTCGAAGCATAAAGCCCCTTCTCCTGGCCTCCCTGGCAGGTGGTGACAAACAGAGACACCCAGGAATTGCTGCTGTGCACCGCCTATGTCTTCGAGGTCTCCACCAGTGAGCGTGGAGCCCAGCACCACATATACCGCCTGGTCAGGGACTGAAGGGGTACCCCCAAACTGGCTTGCCCCCGGAACACTCTCCTCCCAGGAAGGACCCTCCAGCTCTCCTCATGCTACTTATTTAGGGAAGAGGCTGTGATTTAAAGGGGCTGACCTCAGAGGCCTAAGCAATAGGGGACCCCAAAACTTGGTTGGTGAGCTGAACAGGCTGGGACTGAGGAAAGAACAGACTCTGATAGTGGGCCCTCACAGGGGGTGTCTGAAAGGACAGATCACTCCGGAGCATCAGGGATTGAGGACAGGAGTGAGACAACTTCCAGGTACACTTCTCAGCCTCTGACAAGGCCCCCTCCCCGCCTTCTGGATGTTTCTGAGGGCCTTAGTTACACAGTGGCTTGTCTCCCTTCCTGTTTTCCAGCTGCCTCTCCCCCTAAATTTCTGCCTCTCCCTACCATCCCTTGTATCACAAAGATTAACCCTTTTGTGTAGGAGCAGAGCCAGGTGGGCCCTGGAAATATTTTTAATATAATGAGATATTTATAAGGGTTATGACTTTATCTCAGCTGCACAAGCAATGGGGTGAGGCTTTGTAATCTCATCCCCCTCCTCAGTGAGCCATGAGCTAGACTGTTTCCTTCCCCCAACCCCGAAGTGTGTTGGTTTGTGTTCTGACAGAGGATAAAGCTATTTTACCAAAATGCACAGTATTTATTTGAGGTTTGGATGAAAAATAATCTTGTGGGAGGTGGTAGGCCAACAGATGAGGCAAAGAAATGAAGTATGTTTGGGGCAGGAAGCTGGTGGACGGAAGCCCCAGGTCCCATGGGAGAGGTGACAGCAGCAGCCAGGCAGGCAGACACCTGGGTCCCCAGGGGAATGAGGTGGAGGGCTCAATGACTGGGGCGAACTGAGGATCAAACAAATATTTACAGGTGGCACGGAAGTGCACTTGAAGGGATCCAGGCGGGGCTTGGGAAGGATGGGGCCTAGCGGTATCGAGCCAGCTGTTTGTAGACGTGGTCCAGGTTTCTGCACAGGAATATCGACAGCGTCATGAAGCCGAGCTACAGAGAAAGGAGACGCAGAGACTTTTAGTGGGTGTTGGCGACAGTGTGTTTGATGAGCCTCCCCCGCAACCAGGGAGAAAAGTCAGGGGTAGGACCCAGAATTGGATCAAGGGGGCTAGAGAAGGGAGAGGTAGAAATGAGCAAGGCTAGAGGGAGAACTACAGTAGGTGGGGAGGCAGGGTCGGATTAGCGTCTGAGAAGGAGTAGGGTCGGAAGCAAGCCCAAGGTTCTTTATTCTGGAGGCTCATCTGCATCTCCCTCCCCCTCGGCCTCAGCCTCTGCTTCTGCACTCCCCATCTCGGGCTGCTCCTCGTCTTGATCCCACAGCGGCCAGGGCCCCAGGGCCATGGGCAGCTTGCCCTGTGGGCCCTTGTCCCCCCAGTTGGGGCAGGCATCCGCCATGCCCCAGCCACCCCGTGCACTGCCGCTACGCCCGCTGCTGCTGAGCACGCCGCAGCGCCCGCTGCCGCCGTCAGCGATCAAGTTGGGCCCGGGGTTGGAACGGTCGGCGCCCGCCACTGGCGGCTCCGGCTCCAGGCGGAGCGCCCAGCGCTGTAGCTGCAGGCTCAGCACCATGACACTCACCTGCGAGGAAACGGGAGGGCTATTGTAGCCAATAGCAGGAGGCTCTCACTGCGTACGGCCAATCAGGGCTCGCAGAAGCTAGGTCTCCGCCCCCTCGTCCAAGGGGGCGGCGGGAGTGCCAGGATCCGCTACAGCGCAGTCGCGCAGGCGTCTTAGACAGACAACCCGAGGACGCGCAATCAAGGGCGGAACCATCTAGGGATTATAGGGCCAATGGCAAGTGGGGGCGGGTCCAGATCACCTCAAGTAGACCGACGCCCAGACAGATGCCCACTATGGAAATGAGGTTGTTGTGCAGCCACTTCTGGAGGTTCTGCGCGCAGCCCTGGGGGTGTACAAGTAGAGTTCTTTCTGGGATTCTCTTGCAAGCCCAGGCCCAGCCCCCGCCTGACTTCCAGGCACCGACCTGCTCCCCTAGTTATCAGGGTTCACTAGTTTCCTTAATTCCTTAACCCCTCCGCCTCACCTCTTCCAAGCCCAGCCTTTTCTTTATGCCCCGCCCTCCCCACAGTCCCGCGCCCCTTGCAGAGGGCTCCGCCCCTCCCGTCGCACCGTTCCCTTCCTTGCAGCCACACCCTCTCCACAGACCCCGCCCATCGGTGGCGGCCCCGCCTTCTTAGGCCCCGTCCCGCGTTGGCAGCCCCGCCCCACCTCTCGGTAGATGAAGCTTTCTGCCGGGACCGTGCAGAGATCTGTGTTGTGTCGGGGCCGCACTGACGGTCCGAGCCGGCTGAACTGGGGGACTGTGGAGTCGTTTGTCGCTGACAAGTTGTAACAGGAGCAGGGCACGCGGTGCACCTCTGACTCGTTGCCTCTCAGGATGAGCACCGGGAACCAGTCCTGCGGGGAGTGCCAGCCGCAGCAGCGCAGCTGGGAGGGGAATACGAATCAGAGGGACGGGGACCGGAGAGATACGAGATGATGCTGGGGATCAGGGGACTAGGTGGTGGGTATGAGGTCATGTCGGCGAGCAAGGGGCTAAGTGGTGGGTGCAGGGTGGGGGCAGTGGGCTGCGCTGGGGATGCGAAGGGGCCAGGGGACATGACTGGAACATGGAGCTGGGAGAGACGTGAGTCGCGGGGTGACCTGTGGCTAGGGAAGGAGCTGCGGCATCGCGCTGCGGAGCGGAGATTGGGTGGGCGGTGCAGTTCAGCCTCAGGGGACAGGTGAGTGGAAGTGAGAGGTGACGTGAGTGTCCAGGGAATGAAATCTCATCGGAGGCGGGATCCGGTGGGAGCCAGAGTCACCACAGAGTAGGAAGCTGGGTCACGTTAAGGTCTTGGGTGCAGGGACTTGGCCATTTGGGGCGGGGCGGAAGTCTCCTCGAGGCAGAGGGTGGAGCTACACCAGGGTTTAGGTACTGGGATGGACCACGTTGGGGCCTGTTGTGTTATTTTGGGGCGGGGCTGCGTCAGGTGTGGCGGGGGTGGGGTACTTTAGGGTCCTGGATCTTGGGACTGGGGCCACGTCCGAGCGGAGTCTCCGTGAAGCACTAGATGGAGCCACATCGGAGTCCGGGATCTAGAGGAGGGGTACGCGTCAGGGTGGAGTGGGAGCCCACTCACCTGGAACTGCACGTAGTCCCAGCTCTCCTCAGCCTCTGTCTCTTCCGGGTTGGCGTGATAGTTTTGGATTGTCTTCTTCACGATGTCCTGCACGCTTCGCTCCAGCTGTGAGGCCGAGTGTGAGGCAGGGCCGCATCTGCCCAGCCTCTTGCCCCAGACTCCCTCAGGCTGTCTCAACCCCAAGGGGTCCCTGAGTATCTTTGCGCCAGTCTCAGTTCCTCCCCGAATGTCTAGCTAGGTCTCTGTTCCTCAGGTTTGTCTTTCTGTTTCTCCCACTATGTCCAGGTTTCATTAGGTCTCTATCTCTTCTTCAGGAGCTTTTGTTCTCTGCCTGTTCCCCTCCCCCGCCCTTTCTTTTTTTAGACACAGCCTCACTGTGTCTCCCGGAATAAAGTGCCATGGCCTCAGCCTACTCACTGCAACCTAAAACTCTTGGGCTTAAGTGATCCTTCTGCCTCAGCCTCCTGAGTAGCTGGGACTACAGGAGTGTGCCACCACACCTGGCTAATTTTTTTTTTCCCCTAATTTTTAGCAGAGAAAGATCTTGCTCTTTCTCAGGCTGGTCTCAGACTCCAGAACTCAAACAATCATCCCACCTGGGCCTCCCAGAGTGCTAGGATTACAGGCCTGAGCCACTGTGCCCAGCCTGTTATTTCTCTTCATCTGTGGCAGCCCCTGTCTGCCTGTGTTCCCAGTCTCTCTCCACCCCTCCCAAACTACTCCCCACCCAGTGCCAAGGTGGGGTGGAGGCAGTGACAGCAAGCTCACCCGGACCCGCTGAGTGGAGATGAGGATTCCCAGGGTGATCTGTGTGGCAAACAGCAGCAGCAGCATCCCAAAATACTGAGGGCAGAGTGGAGAGGTCAGGCTTAGCCCCCTCCCTAGGCCACTTTTGAAGGGGAGATTAGGAGTGGTCGTAGGGATGGAGGGAGCTGGAGGACTCACCAGAGCCAGAAGGCAGCGGAGTTCCTTGAGGGCCCCCACACAACCCAGGAGGGCGAGGCCCATGGTGAGGATTCCCGAAAGGGCCAGGATTTTGGACCAAATCTGCAGAGGCATGAAGGACAAACCTGGGAAAGGTGAGAGGCAGTGATGATGAGCCTGGGGCACACAGTTCCAAGCAGCCCCATCTCCCACCCAGGCAGCCACCCAAGTGGAGAGCAGTATTCTGGGGGTCCTCTCTCTGGGCTCCTGGTGCCCCTGTCTCTGGGTTTCTGCCTCTCTCTGGGACACTCCCTGCCCCACTGTGAGTCTCCATCTCTTTTTGGGGCTTTCTCCTTCTCATTCTGGATCTGTTCCCTCCTCCTTGGATCTCTATCCCTCTTTTTTGCTCACTCTCTCCTTCCTTCTTCAGCTCCTCCTCATCCCCAGTAGTGTGAACCCCACCACTTGTCCTGTGACATTGGCTCAGTCACTTAAACCCTCTGAGGCCTAGCGGACAATGATATTTATTTCTCAGGGTTATCTTGAAGGACACATAGGAACATGCATTCAAGTCAGTCCTCAACACAGGGCAAACGCTTATTCAATATGAGCTACTAGGATTTGGACGATTATTTTTCTGCTGTTATTCTGCTGGATTATTAATCTGCAGAATATAATCAGCAGAACATAACCTGCTGGATTATTTTTCTGCTGTTATTCATATTATTTCTGCTCTTCTACTTCCTTGCTGCACAACATCCAGCAGGGGACTTCCCCTCTCAACTTCAAGCAAAAGGAAGGTTTGTGGGAGGGTTTGTGTGATGAGCAGCAGCAGCAGATGTGACACATAGGAAATGGTTGAGAAATGGCTCTCGTCACTATTATTATTGATATGCACAACCCCGTTTGCCAGGGAGAAAACACAGGCTCTAAGAGGAGAGGTGCAGCAACAGTGAGCAGGGGACGGGAGCCTGTGGCCTGCCTAGCCAGTCGGGCACTGCGGGCCTCCCTCGGACAAGGGAGACTCCAGGAAGTCACCTGGGGGGAGGCCCTCCCGACTGTCCCAGCCCCCCTCACCCACAAAGGACACGAAGCTGGTCTTGTCGATGAGTATCCAGATGCCGAAGCAGAAGATGAGGCTGCCTAGGACCTGGAGGGTGGAGATAGAATATGGAGGGGATGGGGGAGGGGGCAAAGCGGGTATGTGAGTGAGGTTGGGGGGCAGCGGCAGGGCCTGGGGCCGGGCTGGGTTAGCTAGGAGGCAACTCACGAAAAAGAAGAGGTTGAAAACGAAGAGGAAGTACTTGATGAGACTGAGGCAGCTCTCCTGGGCCGACATCTTCACCTAGAAGGGGGAGTGATCAGCTTGAGGGACCGGACAGGTGTTGGCAGCAGGGGAGACAGGCAGAAAGAGGCCCAGCGCACAGGAGGCTGAGAGAGAGGGAGAAAGGAAGAACACAGAGAAAGAGGAAGTTCCAGGGGTGGGGCTCCACCCCCTGCCTCTTCAGCCGAGGTGACTCTCCTCTCTGTCTCTGTCTCTGTCCCTGTCTCCCTCAC